TTGTTCAAGTTACTTCGGGTTGACAGATGATGGCAACATAGACATCAGCTCATCTTAACAGTTTTCCTGCCGATACATTACGTGGATTCTCAAATGGGCAAGCAAAGTGTTTTTTTTGGGGTTCTACAGTGCACCAGACTCCACAGCAAACAGTCTGTTCAGGTGCATTGTTGACATTTTTTGCGACTGAACCTGCCTATTGAAAAGCTGCAGGGCTACTGCTTTGACGGGGCAAGCAACATGCCGGAAGAATAAGTGGAGTGCGGACGCGTCTGGCAGAACTTTGCCCTGCTCATTGTTTGTCCATTGCTGTAACCACTCGTTAGACCTGGCATTGCAAGAGGGGGCGCGGATGTTTCTCTGATAGCGAAAATCTTCAAATTTGTACAAAGCGTCTCCACTGTCATCCGGGAGTCTGCGAAACGAATGAGTCTCCTACCAGAGCCTCTGTCTCAGAGGGGGAACCTGCCACAACTAACAGCGCTGTGTCCCACAAGGTGGTGTGTGAGGACCAGGGTATATAGCAGACTGCTACAGGGTATCGGGCCGCTCCTCCAGACCCTACGCACTCTACAGGAGGACAGAACTGTTCGTGCGAGACTCAGCCATATAAATATTTGGACTCCTGAAGCAAGCGCAGAAAGCCAGAACAGCATACGGTCTGCTTTGCTGCTGAAGCGATCGCCGATTTGGTTGCCATGCGAGACAGTGGCAAAGAGTCTGCAGGGTGACAACGCGAGTAGTCTTTGGTAGATTCTGAAAGAGTGAGTCAGATTGCCATGCCCTAAATTGATTAGAATGCAGGAAGTTGCCATCTATAAAAAACATTTATGGGGGAGGGCCCCCAGATCCCTGTTCAAAAGTTCGTCCCCACCAACAGCACCCCTGCCAAAAATGTCTTCCCGCGCCTCTGTTATGGGACTGTAGAAAAACAATTTCATTATCGTTAGTTAATCAAGAAATAATCTATTTATTTGAAACAGGTGTGTAGTAGATGTGCCTGAATATCAACAATTAAAATTAAATAATTATCTCAGTGATAAGACATAGAATGTTCTTTCAGTACAAATTAATGATAGATACTCTTATAACGACTTATTGACATCAAATCTTAACTTTGTCATATATCCGGCAGGGTCTAGGGTTAGGATAGCTGGCTCTCACCCAGCAGGCCCGGGGTTCGATTCCCGGTGTCGTAACCTTTTGATATCACTCTTTAAAATAAATCATATATGTTTTTTTAAATTCTATATTCTGCATTCTGTAATTAGTTAATCTTCAATTTATGTAGTTTACTTTGCTTAAGGTTGATGAACATTGTGTTATAAAAACAAAACTTATCATGTCAGGAATAATAGACTATGTATTTTTTCATGCCTTCAATGAGAAAGCAAAATATGCCATGCGGGAATTGAATCCGGGCCTGCTGGGGAAAGCCAGCTATCCTAGCCATTAGACCACATGGGAGAATATATATAATTGTTTCCGCCCGGGGACCTTTCGCGTGTTAGGCGAAACGTGATAACCACTACACTACGGAAACATGATATCAGTTAGTTTATTTGTAAGTACATATCCCACTTTCCAGTTACCTTCGATAGCTCAGTTGGTAGAGCGGTGGACTGTATGATCCATAGGTCGCTGGTTCAAACGGTTGTGTCGTTTTCTCTTAAGCCCTTATCAGGGATCTGAACCAGAGGATCAAGAGCTGAAAAGGGTACTTCTCAGCATTTCTCAGTTCAAATAAACTCAGTAGCTTAGTGCACCACGTCTACCTGGGAAGAAGGTTCTTCACAAAGTGCTATAAAAGTGAGTGCATTTTCTGGATTTTGTGGGCCTGCGTTTCCCCCCCCCACTCAAGTAAGCAGGTCATTAAGCTCATCATGGTCTAGTTGCTTTCGAGACTGACCAGATGACATCGGGGATTGACAGGGCCGAGGATAGCATGGTATTATCCTTATCTACCATCTTCAACATTCCCCTGCCCACCATAATGGAACTGAGAGATGAGCCTTCCTACAGGCTCCTTAGAGCCTTCCTGGGGACTTTCCCTTCTTTCTCCGCTCTAGGCTTTGCTCCAATGAGAGCAATTTAGGACCCCCTCCAGTAAGAGCCGAGCTTGATTCCTCATATCGAGCCATTCATCCTAGTCCCAGGCTGGAGTTTTGTTCCACCCCTGGCTCCCTTGAAACCACCACCACAGACGTCCCCTCGGTGGCGGATAGTACACTGAACCCCCATGCTCCCATGAGCTCACAAATGGTCCTGAGCCCCAGTGTCACGTCCTCGCCCACTCCTCGAGCTGACCCATGCCCTCCCCCGCTGGAATCCACCGCCGTGGAGGCCCCATTCCCAAGGATGGACAACGTGGGCGACTTAAGGCTGCTTGCGAGTGAGAAGGCAGCGGGCTTGGGTATGAATACAATTATGAAGTTCCTTAAACAGGCCGTCAAGGAGCCCGCGTCCCAAAGCGAGAGGATGCCAACAGACTCTCGGAGCGCCAGGCAACATGGCTGAGGAACATCCAGGAAAAGAAGAAATCGGAATACGCCAAAATCCTACTGGTTAGGAACGATAAACTTCTGGATCCAGCAGCCCTGAGGCCGTCATGGACCTAATAGGTCAGGCTGACCCGTTAACTCCGAAGGACATTCTCTCCTGCCTCTTCAGGGTGGCATTCAACCCTAGTAACCAACTCAACTATAAACCCCTCCCCAAAAGAATGAGGCAGCTCCTAGGAGCACAGTTCAACTATCAGTGCGATGAGGAGCTGAAGCAAACAATTCTGGCCTTGGGTAATGATGGCCAAGGGCCACGATAACAAAGTCATGTCGGACATTATCGACCACACGGTATTGTCATACAGAGAGCGGAATGGCCTCACCCGTGACTCCCCCAGTTCCTCGCGACATACCAGGAAAAGAATAGCCATGGAGTTAAAGAAAGATTACTCCGGCACTATGAGGGCCATTGCTGATGGGAAGCTCTCTAGGCACCTCTCATCACAGCCCATTCCGGCTACTACCCTGAGAGCTTGGGAATTGATCATGACAGCACCATCCCTGGAGGATAGCAGGGTAGCATCCCCCCCGACTGACCCAATATATTCTACGATGTTTCCCATCACCGAGGAGGAGGTGAAAAAGGCCCTCCCAAAGGAGGATGCGAACACAGACCCGCTAGGAATGGATGGTAGATCCTTCCGATCTCTTCAACCAGCCTTCCTCACAAGGTATTTTAACGCCATGTTAGCAGGAGAGTGCCCCCAAAAGAATTGTATAGGTGCCAGACCTCCCTCATCCCAAAAGTGGAGTCACCAACGCGCCCCTCACACTACCGACCAATCACGGTCCTCCCCCACTTCACAAGGTCTATCACCGTATCCTGGCCAGGAGGCTAGAATCCATCAAAATCAACGGTGCACAAAGGGGTTTTCGTAAGGTAAATGGGTGCCTGGAAAACACCTGCATCATGAGAGCGGTTCTCGCAAAAGCCGCCTCACGGGAGGAGAAGGAAACAAGGTCCATGGAGTATTCCTGGATTTTCCAAAGCCTTCGACTCGGTTTCCCACAAGTCGGTGAGGTGGGCATGCATGAGATTGGGGATCCCGGACCCATTAATCAACTACTTCCAGCAAGTCCTGGGTGCAGCCACGACGGCAATTGGAAGAAATGCTCCCGTGAGTATAAACTCGGGAGTCCTACAGGGGGATCCCCTCTCATCCCTATTATTCAACTTCGTCCTGGATGGAGTGCTGGAGGAGGCACTAGACCGACAGGGTCCACAACAGGACCGATATGAGTTGGATGGAACGCCAGCAAGTGCCCTCCTCTACGCGGATGACGCGGTCCTATTGTCGAGGTCCGAGGCGGGACTTCAGGCATTCTTGGACGCATTCAACGAGGCTGCAGGGAAGGTGGGACTGAAACTGAACCCGTCTAAGTGCCGCTACTTCGCGGCAGGCAGAGGCTCTCGCTCAGCGAGGAGCTGCTTAAAGCTCGCCGACACCACCCTGAGCCCGATGTCCCCGGAGGACACCCAAAAGTATCTGGGCCTCCTATACAGCCCGGAAGGAGTACGAATGGGCAATATCACAGCGGCCCTGAGGAAAGGGGTAGCCAACATCTACGCCACTAATATATCCCTCCAACACAAGTATTGGTGCCTGAGGGACTTTCTCCTCCCGAGATTCGTGTACGAGCTCTCCCTTGGCAGAGTGGGAACAAGGGATATAGAGACAGCCGACCACCTCGTCCGGGAGTTCATGCGCTCCCTGGGAAGGCTCCCGCGCTGCACTCCAGTGGAGTTCTTCCACGCGCCCACGTCCATGGGAGGACTGGGGCTAATGCAGTTCCGCTCAAAAATAGTTTGCGCCAAGAATGGAGCAGCGAAAGCGGCGGCAAACTCGTCGGATCCGCTGGTAAAGGCGGCAGTAAAGTGCGACCCGCTGAGCTAACGCTCTCCTCCTGCCTAATAGGTGGTCGCCCCGTGACCGACAGAGAAGCAGCCAGGAGACAATTGGCGGAGGAACTCTACCGGAAAGTGGATACAGCCGGTTCGGTATCCTTCAAGAAGGGCATCCGGAATTCCCAGTATCTATCGGGGAGCAGATTCCTAATCGAGGATAAGGAATTCCTGGCGGCAATCCAAATTCTTGGAGGTGCCCCCTTTGTAAAATCAAAGAAGGCGCGCTTCACACCCTTCGAGTATGGAAGCAAATGTGAGGCATGCCCCGACATCGTTAAAAACCTGGATCACATTCTCCAGATGTGCCCAAGGTCCAGGGTGGAAAGACTAAGGCGGCATGACGATGTCCAGTCAATCTTGGAGAAAGATTTATCTAAACGGAGAATTAAATTCACAAAAGACAACATCATTCAAGTCGGGAACACAGTCCGCAAGCCTGACCTCATAGTAATTCGAGGCGACCAATAGTGGACCCGACAATCATTTCAGACAAACGGAAATTCGAAGCGGCGTGGGAGGAAAAGATGGCCAAGTATGGCAGCAGAATTCAAAGTCGCCCTCCTCAGATCTCTGGGTCGCCCTATCAAGGACAAGGACATAGCAAATGTCCAAGTGATTCCCTTCGTCTGCAACTGGAGGGGAGTAATCTTCAGGGAATCCTTCCTGGAGATGAACAGGAAGCTAGGGACCCCATACTCCGCCATCCCAACGCTCCAGATCAGGATCCTAAAAGGCTCCTATCTGGCCTATAAGAAGGAAAGGGCCCTTACGGACAGGGAGGACTAACGTCCTCGTTATCAGTCTCAACTCCTCCTCTTGCAGCTGATCCCCTTTATCTTCCTTTCTCCCCCTCTCGAAGGCAATCTCTTTCCTATCCACTATCTTTCTCCCTCCCTATCTCCTCTTTACCTTCCCTCTATCTCTTTCCTTCTCTCTCTATACCTCTCTATCTCTCGGTGTGGCACACAGCTTCTTCGCTGCTTTCCCACCATCTTCACCCTCACAGGCGCAGCTTCGGCTGCCCCTAATTAGGCTCCTTACGGCAGGGAGCGGCAGCATGACCTAGGTCATCGCTAGCCATCAAATATAATATCAAACCGTGCCAAGTATGTTCGTCAGATTTTCATGTTGAAAGATTGAAATAAACGCATTTAAGTGGACTGTAGAGGAATTAGTTATAATAACAGTGATCCATAGGTCGCTGGTTCAAACGGTTGTGCGTTTTTTCTCTTAAGCCCTTATCAGGGATCTGAACCAGAGGATCAAGAGCTGAAAAGGGTACTTTTCAGCATTTCCTCAGTTCAAATAAAGTCAGGAGCTTAGTGCACCACGTCTACCTGTGAAGAAAGTTCTTCACAAAGTGCCTAATAAGTGTGAGTGCATTTTCTGGATTTTGTGGGCCTGCGTTCCCCCTCCCCCCCCATTCAAGTAAGGCATATTGCTCTCTCTAAGACTTCAGTGAAACTTCCTCATAGTGGGCCCAGCGCTGCGCGCTGGCCGTCTTGAAAATTCTCCTTTCTTGAAATTCATTTGACTACACCGTCTTGGAATGGCCTGAGGAGGCCCCTAGGCCACACTTGTTTTTTTTTCAACCCTCGAAGCGGAGGGCAATATCTCCGCCATCCGTAGTCTGATCGAGCTACGGACTTCGCCATCGGGTTCCTAAGGCGGGTGCACCTCGTCGCGGGGATAGCCCCTATCCTCCTCTCTCCAACGCCGCCAATCTCATCGCCGTGCGGCCATTGTGGCCCAAGTTAGAAGCGTTTCCCTGGCCCCTCAACACAGAATTACACTCTTACTTCCGGGATAACTTCTGCACGCAACGTCCTACCTCAATTCGGACTTCGGCACCGTGTTTTGTCCTGATTAGACGGACCCGGCCAGCCAATAATTTTTGGCCTCCGAGGACGGCCTCCGGCCTTCACGAAGTTCATCCCTCTTCCCCTCAGCCGTTCCGCCAGCAAAGCTTCGAGGCTTTGATACCTCCCGCGAGGGTTTGCAATCACTAGCAGCCGAGCTACACTTCCATGCTCGAAGGGGACCCCAGGATCCCACTAGGGCTTAACACCCTAAATAATTTCCTCAGGATCCCGCAGGCGTAGAGGACTCAGCGACAGCTCCCCGCAACCGGGACGCAGCTGCGAATCATCTTAAGTCCTCATCTTCGGCCTTGCCGGCCACCCCAACGAGGCCGCT